ATCAAGTAACTTTTATTTGATTTTATTTTTCTAATTGCTGATAGGTAGCGTTATAATCTGAAAAAATGGATTATTCTGATACTCTAGGAATATTATGGTATTATCTCAAGAAATACACATCTCAAAAACTGAAAAAAATGTATTTACAATATTTTTTAAAAATCTATTAAATGACAAGAAACATGACCCCCCCCCCTACACCCTGGGATTGGGTACACGGACAACTGTGAAATATTTAATAGGAACCCCCATTATTTATTTCAAATTCTGATTTTACTATGTTTGAAATACTGATGTGTAAAGAAGTATATTTAGTTTTAGTTTTTTTTTTATATTCTTTACTTACCATGGCTTTAAATGATATTAATCTAGGTAAAGCAAGAAAATGAATAGTAAAGGTTTTTAAAAAGCACATATGATACAAACTAGTAAATGTCTTCCTCAACCTCAAGAAATCTAAGATAACAAATCACAAACATAACAATTTAAATAAATTTTGAACAGACACACTTCTAGTATTTAAAAATACTTAAATTGGACAAAAATCCAGTCATTTAAGACGCAATGAGTTACAGAGTTGGTCCATGTGTCAGAAGAAGTCAATATTATTTGTTATTATAGATTTGGATGACTTCCAGCAATATCAGCAAGGTAAGATCAAGATTTGGGCATATCCACACCATATATATTTGAGGATAATCCACAAAGTCAACTAAATTAAGGAGTATATTGTTAATTCCAAAGTATTTAATACTAAATTAATGTCCTTCTATCATACATTACTTACTGGCAGTTTTGTATGGAAATAATGAGATTCAGGAAGCTAAATTTAACTTAACCATTCTAGAAGGGGATTATTCTAGTGATACTATTAGTAAAGGGCAATAGTGAATGTGATGTATTTTATTGGAAACCAAATTTTACCAAACAGAGAAATAAAAACCTACTGTATGTCATGGCTAACTATATCTTTTAGTTACACCCTTAGGAGATAGATTACTTACCCTGCATCTCCTAAGTCAATCTTTATCTCTGGTTCGCTCCTGTCACATACAACATTAGGTTTTATCACACAACTTAAGTTTGTTTCTATTACTTTTGGTGTTGATATATGAAAAAGGAAATCTCTGAAAGAAAAAGTGTTTTTCTTAGAAAATATATATGAAACACGCTTGCGCTAGCCTATATTTAGAAAATCAATGAAATACTTGGGTTATGTGTGTATATATTTATGCTTACCGAGCGGTTACAGCATTGGCATGGAATGGATCAAATTGAACCTGAATTTTTTTAACAGGTTTTAAGTTAACTAATTTTAGTTGTTTATTTATGGCACTTATTACCCCAGCTGACCTAGTAAAACCACCGCTAAAATAGATAGACATTTTTAAACTATTTTGTAATATGAAGATGAAAACAATAGAAATATTTTTATTTCCTTCCACACGGATATTTACTAAAACGTGACTTTTGACTTTGGCAGATGTCAATTACATTCAACACGAAGTTTGCAATTTAAGAACAGTGTACAAATCGCAGGTTTTCCATAGGCGGAAGTAGGTATTAATAAATTGAAGGATTATGAAATACATATATACATAGTAAAAACTACGACCGTCAATTTATATTAATAAAGTATTCAACTAGTGAATTCAAAGGTTTATTCGGTCATTCAGGTTGGCAAAATAAAAAACAGAAGTCAACTACTTCATAAGTTTATAGAAGACGTTTCGCTTTATACTTCTAAAGCTTCATCAGTTCTAACTCAATATGTAGTATTAAAGATGTTATTGTATATGTACTTAAGTTTACTCATAAATTTAGAACTAACTTAAAAAAAATTAAACAGAAACAAAGTACACAAAAACTTTGCAAAAAATAATATATATATATCTATATATATATATATATATATATATATATATATATATATATATATATATATATATATATATATATATATATATATTAATTTGATCAAGCATAATTTATTGACAAAAATAAACTGAATAAAATACATAGTAAAATAATAATTTATCCCTAAAGCGGGATCGGCTTTCCTAATGCTATTTCTATCTTGGCTCATACGAATATTAATTCCTACCCTTGACATACAGATCATATCTAGGCGTCCTTCTTTAGATCCTCTTTGGCTTTCCTCTCCCAGTTCTCCGAGTAGCTTGCAGCTTAGCTCTTTTTGTATGGGGCAATTATAAATTCAGCAATAGACGTACTTACCTAAAACATCTCATAGTATGGTCTCTGATTTTGTTATCCTTTGGTGCCACAGCTATGTTTCATAATAAATAAAAAAATTTAAATTTCTTTGTCACTATTTATCCATATAACCATTTTCATTTATGTGATATACATTCATATGAAGACACACATGGTATTTGCTGATCTTTAAAGGGCGTATGATAGTGTTTCATTAGCCAAGATGGGGCAGGTGCTGGAAGATAAGAAAATTCCACCGATTTACACAAATACTGTGAGGAAGTTATATGACGATATGACGAGTTCAATAAAGATTGGATAAGAAGTGACAAAAAAGATAAAGTTGATAAAAGGACTTCGCCAAGGCTGCCGCAATGTACTTATGCTCTTTAAGATTTACTTGATGGTGGTTTGAATATTTGAGGTACAGCTTGCATTTTGCGGATGACCAAATAATACTTGCAGACGATTAAGATGATATCTACTCATCGAGCAAAAAGATAAAAGAGGGAATGTAAAGGTAGTGGGGACAAAAATATTGTTAGACAGGAAGTGCTATCTTGAGAGGCCACTTTAAACAAGGAAAGACAGGCTTTTCCTTGTTTAAAAAGTCAAATTTAGTTTGGTTATGTTATTGTTTGTCCCAACTGCCACATGAAATTTTATTTATATTGAAGTTTATTACCAATTGTGTCACTTTTTAGACTATTATCGTTAATATTTAATTAAAACTTTCTTGTCTGAAAAATATTTTACAGCTATTGTTAACAAGTGTTGGAAAATTTAAATTTAGCGCCTTTGCATTTCCGGATATGTCCGCCATCAGAGGCCACTTTTTTGGTCTCCTTTTCATAACGATTAGATTCCCTCTTTTATCTTTTTGCTCGATGTATCTACTACATGTTGCGAAAATAGATGAATAATATACCAAGTGGGGTTTATCAATTATCCCATTAAAAACTGAGTATGTAGTAGTGGGATGAGGTAAATAAAGTCGCTTAAAACTAAGAGGCACACAAATCAAAAATATTGATAGCTATTATACATATCTCGATGTAAGTTACAAACGATGGTCGAAATAGGAAAGAAATAGCTACTAGAATTAGCCAAGGTAATTTAGCAATATATCAACTGGAATAACCACAACACTAGAAACACAAAAATTAGGATATACAAAAGTATCATAGAGAGTATTGCTACTTGCTACATATATGGTTTGGGTAATAAATAAAAAACGCATTCAAAACAAAACCAATGGAAATGAATTATTGGCGTAGATGTTGCCAAATCACTAGAAGGGGTAGAGTAACGAATACTGAAATCAGAGAGCTGATGGTTAAATTTTTCGTTTTAAAACCGGATCAACACTTGCCTAATTTAATTTGAAATTTATAAAAATTTCACTTTTTTGTTTCAGAGCTGAAAGACAAAGTAAAGGCAAAGGAGCTTCAGCTACGATTTTAGATTAAATTAAGTGAATAAATAATAAATAGTTATAAATTAAATTTTATTTTAATTATATTTTACAGCTTGTATAAGTCACGTGAAAATTTACATATATTTTTCTCTTCGCTACCTTAATTCACGATACAAAAAATATGGCAAATTTGCTGTAACAAAATTGCTACTGTGTCAAAACTAATCTTATGCAAGTTTGTTATATCAACATTGTATATTCCATATTCTTTATAAAAACAAACTTCAAGCAAGTTTGTCGCATTGTAACTAGCCAGTTTGATTTAAAAGTGCTGCAAATGTGTACAGTTGACATGACAAACTTTAAGCAAATCTTCGTTTTTGATATAGGTATTAAACTTGTTAAATGTCTGAATCAAGTTTCTATTGTCATCTGGGATATTGCGTTTTAAAATTTCAAACTTGAAAAACAAACTTAGAGTATCTCTTGAAATTTATAAACATTTAATATTTGTTTCGCCCAGCACAAATAGTGTTTACCGAGATTTTGAATTAAGATCGGCGTGAGAAGCGCTTACTAAGAAGCAGAAATTACAATGATGTGTGAGAATTGAGATTATTTCCGATAAAGCGTTCAAATGAGCCGGTAGTCCTGGCATTCTTCCGCTAGTTCTAAGGGTTTTGAGCCCTGAAACCAACAATTTCCAATTTACAGCATTAAAATTTGAGTAAAAATTTCTTTTTCGTTTACTTGGCAAAAGATGGAAATGAAAACAAGTTTTTTGTGATTTTAATTGCTGAGAAACCTGCCACGGTTTGGTTGGTATTGGGAAAGAGTCCTTATTCTATTTAAAGAATCTGCATGTCAACAGTGGAAGTAAGTTAAGTAAAACAAGGAATTAACAGTAAGTTTTTTTAACCTTTTTATACTGCTTTAGCCACTGTGATAACGTGAAAAGTTAAACCTTTGTAATCAAAATTTTGTTATGGGAATAATAGGAAATAAAGAAATATTACAATAAATCAGAATTTCCTATACAAAATAGAAGTAAAATTAAAAATGATTCATATTATAAATCTAAATTAATTATTGTCAGCTCAGTAGTATTGTTAAAATATGGAAGAACTAAAAAATAACTGTTTTATATCTGATCTGAACTGATCTTTATTTATCGATTATGACCCCGTGAAAATAATGTTGGTGTACCAATGGGTGGTTAACCTGCTTTATGTGTATTACCAACTGATCGAAAAATCCATTTGACATTTGAAATACAAGAAAACGAGAACCGAGTCGACCGAATAATGTCCGAATTGTCCGACGATTATAGTCGTTTCCTTCGTCTGTCACCGCACCCAGATGCGATGACTGATGCCTTTTGTTACAGGAAGTGGTAATTAATATGCATAAAATTTATTCAAACGGATTAACAATGAATTTAACTCGGTTACGCTTACAAAAACGGAATCTAACAGTTACTATATGATCCAAAGCATCGTTTTTGTTCAGTGGACTCTTTGTATATATAGTTGTTGATAGTTAAATAAACATGGATGAAGGAACTTTAAATGATTTATTGGAGTGTTCAGTGTGCCTAGAACGACTAGATACATCTAGCAAAGTACTTCCTTGTCAACATACTTTCTGTAAAAAGTGTTTAGAAGAAATAGTGCAAACACACAAAGAATTAAGATGTCCAGAATGTCGAGTTCTAGTTTTGGTAAAAGTGGATGATTTGCCCCCCAATGTCTTGCTAATGCGAATATTAGAAGGAATTAAAAATGCTGGTAATTTTTTGCCTAAGAAGATTAACAGACCTGCCAGGGCTCCGAATCTATTACCTACAGCTGTTGCACAGACAACTCCTCTGCATACCCCACACAGTACTCCAGATCACAGGATCAATTCTAATAAGCAACAATTGTTGCCCCATCAGCCGTACGCTAAGGCAATGTATGATTATACATCTAAAGAAACAGGGTAAGTTAAAGAGAAATATTTTTATTTATTTTTACAAACTGTATACAAGTGCATACTGATACAAAATATTTTTACTCTACATTATATTGTACTGTTACTGTTAATCAGTAAATATATATTCTTATTATTGGTTCTTATTTAATCCTTAAATGAAAATCTGCTCACCACAAGTTGCATTTTGTGTAAATTGGATTAGGAAAATGAGATTAGTAATATTTACTCTTTTATATTTATATGAAACAAACTATTTACTTGTTAGAAATAAATAGATCAATAGGAAATATCCTATATGTAACAAATTGATAAAAAAAAGTGCTAACAGTTTGGTGTGGTTTAAATTAGAAAAAGGTTATACATACACCAAAGAAAAAACATTAAAATTTAGGCCTTTCTGTTCTTTTTCGTCTCTCCACAAAAAATTAAGCATTTTTAGGTATACCCCCTTGCTGAACAATTTCATAAATAAGTTATAATACATACCTAATACAACAGATACAACAAATTCTAATTAGAGTGGGCTATGAATTTTTAAACTCTGACCTCTTCCACAGAATATGAATAAAATATTACATGAAATTTTAAATATTGAATAGTATTTAACAAATAATTTAATTTTAAAATCATAATTGACAAATAAGTAATACTATGGCTTTTGTTAATAACATTGTGCATTCCAGTTCTCCACAAACCATTACTCCAACTTGACTACCCTATATTATACCTAGTGAATTTGTTAAATGATTTTTTTACCAATATATTGCACAATCACTAGCACAGCCAATACAGCCTAAGCTGAGCCATAGCGCAGTGGCTAGTAACTAGCTTACCAAGCCAGACAATCTGGTTTTAATCCTGGTAGACACCAGAATTCTTTCAATTAACACTAAAACCTGAGCTGAAAATTATACCAATGGAGGATGTACATGTATAGTTAGAATCTTCCAACTTTTCATTTATTTATTTGCTGGTAACCATTTTATCAGTTATTCAATTATCAATTATAGGTAATATTTTATATTATATTATTTTTAAATTTCTGGGTAAGCAATTTTAACAAACATCACTTGAAATGAGCAGTTCACCAGGTTAAAAATGGAGTTTCCCAATGTAGTTAAAAACGGAGTGAACATTGTAGGAATCCAGTTTCTAATACAAATTCAGTCTCTCCACTTATCATTTTTTCTCTTTTCCACACAACTTATCATCTTTTCAACAATACTTTTTAGAATTAAGGCTGTTTTAGCAGTTCAAGCACACTGCGATTTGAAATGGGCGTATCACTTACTTTTCTACACTGCTTACGCAAGTACCTTTACTCAGTGGCGCAGCCGACGGCTAGTTTAATGATAACAAATGTATTACTCTCAGTTTAAATTAGTTTTAACATGAATTAACTGACCGTACGTTCATGAGATTTGATGTCACGAAGGCGACAAGGGTGAAATTAAACGACAATGCTAAGTAACATGTTTCACTATTAGATTTTAGTATTTTTTAGCAATTTTCTTCAAAGTTGGAACACGCTTTTCTCGATTATTACTGGACACAGAAAGGTGAAAAAAAAAAATCAACGATTACAGAAAAAAAACTCTTTCAATTGATGGGTGTAAAAAATTTGGTTATAATAGAACATTAAACAGTATAATCCAATTTTTCAACAGAAGTTTCAAAAAATAAAAAAAGTAAAACCATAATTTTAAAAGCAACATAATTTCGAATATTGTGTCCAAATTTCGAGACATTTTGTTGGTAAATAACAGTCCCTAGGTTTTGGTGCACCTATAAAACAGCCTGAAATGACTCACTACATGGACTCCAAATTTTATTTACTAAATTGACATATTACATGACAATTGACCTACCTAATACAATAAAACAAGTCTCATTTGAGGAAAATATTATATTAAAGGATATCTTAGGTATTTATATTATTTTGAAACCATTGACAAAATTGTAGTTGGCATAAAAGAACAAAGATATCATTTTTATTCATCATCATTCTGGCTTTACAACCTTGCGTGGGTCCTAGCATCCTCAAGAATTTATCTAGTTCCTATCCATTGCCTTCCTCAGCCAACCATGAATTCCCATATTTGTTATGTCTATCATTTTTATTTAACAATTATATTTTTCAAACATACTAAAGAGGGTTTTCAAATATCCACCAAGTATATTATGTGAATTGGTATATTCAAAAAGATTCAACTAAGTCTCATCTGAAAAAAATACTGTGTCAAAGAGATTATCATTGTTTATATTAGTTTTAACCATTGCTAAAATTATATTTGGATTAGATAGATACATAAATAGATTCAATGAGATGGCTTATGACCTATTCCACTACAACCTTTTCAGATCTGTTATAGTCCTCTATAATAGATAGGTTACATTCTTTAACCTGACACATTTTAAAAGGTGTAATAACTTCAAGACTGAACCTTCTATATATCTCTTTGCTGATGTCTTTTCTTCTCTTAATGCAAAGAACCACACATTTTCCTGGCTGTCACACTGACATATGGACATAGTTAAGCAGAAAATGTCCAACCCAAAAAAAAGTGATTGTTGCGAAATTGAGTTTAAAAGTTTTTAGTGTGCCCTAACTAAACTATGCATAATTTAGTCGCCTGATTTAGTATATTGGAATATTGTCTGGAATACAGATGTCTTTCAGCGTTTCTTCCATATCCTTTTTTTCATCATTTTGTGGATATTTTTGGCATTGAAGTAGTTTGGCATTATAAGCCTCCAGACTCCAAAACTCTATCAAAATTCTGTTTTCATGACTCTGTAAGAATCATCAATACATTTCTCAGTTTTGTGTTATTTCCTAATTCTGAAAACACGAAAAAAATAATTCGTAGGTCAATAACAACAACATATGGGTCTTTTTTAATAACCAAAGTTTCCTACTTACATAGCATTGGTAATATTTGAGTCAAAATTAATGTTAGATATTGCACTATTTGTTTGGTTTTTTAAGTTTTGCTAGCCACCATTATGTATTTGCTTCTTTTTGTATCATAATTATTATTAAATAAGTATATTTTAAATCCGAACAGTCATGAAAATTTAGACATAACTGAATAAAAAGAAAAATGGTTTATCAATATTTACTTAATAAGATGATTACCTATAATAATTTATTTTTTATCGACCTAGTTCCATAGTTTGGAGGATTTCTGATTGCACTCTTATTTTTAACAAATATACCGAATTTTATAAGAAGGAAACATCCAATTCACTTGAATGTTTTCAACACAAATAATGCACAGTAGTTTTGTTCTCTCATGGAGTGTTAGTGATCCAACCCACTTAGCATGTTTTAACCCTCCTTTTAATACAATGTACTATAATATATATTTATTAGAAAAAAATTAACCAACTTGGATTTGTTATTATAAATGAAAATCTCAGTTAACCTAGTCTGTGGGTTGAACTTGACGATTATTAAAATAGTATGTAATGTTTTACTGGGATGGTTGTTGCATAATTTTATAAAGTTAAGAAATTATATGGTCGTGGGTGTAAGAACTTTCTTTTTTTTTAAAATTTTGTGGGTTTGGGGGTTTTTCTGCTTAAATACATCTATATTATATAATGTGCATTGCTGTTTCTTCTTCTGGGTGACAGAATCTGCATAGGTCATCATCTGAAAATCCCATCAGCTTCAACTGCCTATTTAGCTTACAATGCTCTGTTAATAGACCTACTATGGCTATTTGACTGTTTTCCTGTCTTTGCTTATTAGGCCTGCCATATATGTTGGCAAATGTTCTATAATGAACTGTTTCACCTGTTTTTGTCCTGTTGAATTCTTTTGCCATTCCCAAGATTTGTAAGCTACCCCCTTTCTTGTACCAGTTCTTGTTACTGCCTTTGCAACATCGTAAAAAGGTTCTGGTTCAACCAATGGCATTTATGAGCCTTTGATGAGTTTGGCCATTTCATCTACTTTTTCATTATTCCTTTGCTGTTGTATGCCAGTACTCAGACTACTGTAACCGTGCTATGTTCTTTTAGTTTATTTAGGGCACCCACACAATCCCATACTAACTTAGAATACAATTCTGTACAGGATTGAGTGCCTTAAGTGCTGCCTGGCTATCAGTGAAGATGGCAATTGAATGGTACATTCTTTTCTGCCTTTCTATTATTGGAGTAGCAGAAGGGTATGAATTAATATTTCAAAAGTTAAGTTGAAAGTTATGTTCTTGAACATACTTAAACAAAATTGATAACTTATCTAAATCCTAAAATATTAGGGTGTTATATCATAGATTAAAGTACACAATAAAGCTGTTAATAATTTTTTTTATCAGAGATTACCATCTAGTGATGTTAAACTACAAAAGGATTTATCAAATTATTTCTACTTATGGAATTCATGACAAAATTCTCTTTGCTCTGCCATCTCATTATTTGTCAATTGAATGATATGCAAATTTTGGTGTAAAAAGTTAACCATCATATTTTCTTTCTCAGTTGTAATATCTTTAAATTCACTAATATTTGACTTAGGTGTACATGGTTTGCCCTTATACCAATTTTGATTAGCACCTTTGGATGAAATTAATATTAGATTTGCTAGAAAAAGCCAGATAATTAAAAGTACTATTTATGTAGTATTAATATTTTTTTCATTAAAAACATTTAGTATTTAAGGAACAATCAGCCGAAATAACAATATTTATAAAAAAAAAACAGTTACATGCATAGTTATGTTCATTGACATGCCTTGTAGACCCTTTGCTAACTGTTATATACCTCCACTCTCTTCTATCCATAACCTTTTCCTTCCAGTTTTGTTTTTTATCTTCCCTAATCACCTTTGTTTGGCTCTAACCTTTTTCATTTAGATATGGTTTTCTTGGTGCAATATTCTTAACTTGTCTTTTATTTTCTGTTCTGTTCAAATGTCTCAACCATTGTAGTCTTTTTGTCCTTACAATTAATTTTACTTATTGCACATTCTTTGAAAATATCTAACAGTTCAATAT